ACAAATTACATGTTTCTGTACCGATGAAAAGTGATGAAAAAATGACCCTGAAAATCGGTCTTTAGAGGTGACTCTTGGTGTAGTGATCACGCTGCCCCCCCCCCTCCCCTTTGCACATACGGTATTCAGTTGTGGAACTGGTTGAGGAATAGGCGGCTTCGCGGCTTTTGTTCGGCGGGTGGACGGTTTTTTAGGGGTGCTTCGTTTCCCTGCCTCTCATTCTGCCATTGCGCCATTTCATTAAGGCATCTCATTTTGGGAAGCAAAACACTTTATATTAACATATACAGTGAAACCTGACTTAAGCGATTTTCAATGGTTGCATCAAAAAATTGGCCGTTTAGTCGAGGTTATGAGGTTTATTTGAAGCGTAAGTGAAATCTAATTGTTATAACTGCTATGAAATGAAGTATGTTCTCTTTGACATTTTCAATTATTACACATTCTTTGTCGAAACTGACGTACCGTTCTCGCCTAATCAAACAAGCAAACTAGACATCAACATGCCATTCATATCGAGCAGAAACTTAATGGCACGGACGTCGAACGAAAGAATTAGTGAATGACTTACAGATCCGTTTAGCACAAGCGGCATACTCCATGAGTCCTTATCAAATTGCCCCAGAAGGGAAGTACGAGTTAGCAAACCATAGGAATGCTGTGAAATGGGAGAAACGGACGCGTTGTTGTTCATTAATAGGTATTTATTAAAACCATTCGTTGGTTGAAGCAGAAAGTAATCCTCCTGTGATGGAACAGGCTCGATGTTATTATACAGTGCGTTATAACAAGATTGTTAAATTAGTAAGATTCACCACTTTTTCGCTTCTAGATATAATTAAAAATCGGCTGCTTGAGATGACCGCTTAGAAAAGGTTCATCCACGGAATGTGCCTTATTCAGTGGCCGCTGAGAAAGATAATATTCACTCATGACTTACGAAAAACTCAAGGGCTTCTACGAAAATGTATCCGTTAGTAGATGTGGAGCTTAATGGAGGCGCTATTTGAGCAGGTTTTACTGCTCTACATATGGTTTTGATACTCATTGTGGATATTGTAGTCGCACGAAATGTGCACAGAATAAAGAAAAATAATTACAATAATCCGATCTCACTATAATTCCTTCGTCGTTTTTCTCTTCTTTTCAGAAGATAAGGTTGTTAGTTTTTAATCTCCTTTTTCGGTGTACTGAAATTATTTCCTGCGATACTAAGAATTTCCAGTTGTTTCTAACCAACAAGAAAATAATGGTAGGACCAAATGGAATTTAGAAACGAGATAGCGACCTAATCAGACGAATTATTCTTGGCGGTCTTTTGCCTCGATCGCGTTCTCCAAGCCAAGTACGCATTGTCCCGGAAAGAGGCTACCTGAAGCAACACTTTTGTCTTTGTAACAAGCAGCAAAGCTCGTGTCGTCACCCCTTTGAGACGTTGTACGCCCCAATCAAACATTAGGTAATAGGCCGACGACATTGTGCGCAAGATGTGGCATGTCATGCCATATTGGGCTCACGGTTATCATCGTCCAAACAGGGCACCTAAGGCGAGGCGTGAGGCGCGCGGGTCGCGGCGCAGGCGCGGGCGCGAGCACTTCGGGGTCTGTTCTGTGTGGGCTGGCCTTCGACTGCCGCCGGGAGTAAGTGGATCGTCGATCATGGAGCTTCGTTGCAGGACGCCTTGTAATCGCGAAAGAAAGCGAGGAACGTGTAAACGTGACGCTAGTTGATGGACCTGTGGCTTCAGTATTGAGGTGCGGGATCGCAAATCAGGTCAGCAAGACCGGCAAATTCACGAAATACAAGCTTTGTGGGTTGAATGAACCTGATTCTAACTTAATAGAAGTATGGCGAACTACAGTTTCGTATAGTGGACAAAGAGCGTGATTATAATCCTTGGAGAGGAAGGGAACGAGCTCGAAGAAAGTTAAGCGATTATTTTGACTTGCAGCTTTTGACGTGCATTTCTAACAATAGTGAGGGTTCAATTAATTTTGCCATCGTCAGTCATCATCAAGAGCAAATGGACTTGCGCGTCCTTATTTCGTCAGTTTCTCAGCAAGCGGTTCTTGGAATACAGATCTGATCGGCCAACGAAAATTCCAAATTGCGTTCAAGAATTTCGAGTAGAGTGCTTGCGAACTCAACGGTCAGAAGAGCGGCGTGAAGACCCGTTCAGTCAGCGCTGTGGCGGATTTGATACCTCATCGTGGCTGAAATCGGAGCTTCTCTCCCGCTTGAGCGGTATCGTGAGTGAACTCCCGGTGCCCCGGCCCTACTTGAGCGCGCGGGCACGCGGGGCGAGCCATGCGGGCAAGCGAGACGGCGATGGGCGCGGGCGCGGGCGGGGGCGGCGGCGCGGGGCTGGAGCGCGGCGTGATGCTGGAGGCGAGCCGCAGCGACCAGCTGCTCAGCAACCTGCTGGAGCACCGCGACGTGGAGGAGGTGACGCGCTGGCTGCGTCTGGTCGACGTGTCCGACTCGGCGCCCGCGCAGCACGCGTCCTGCGGGCCCCAGGGCGCCCTCTGCCCCAAGAGGTAGGCCGTCGCCCTTCTCTATGCACTTGCGAGGGACGACCTGTGCAGGACACGGCGTCCAGGCCTCCGTCGAGCTCGCGCGTGTGTGCAAGTTGTACAGAAGTTACGCTTTTTCTGTAGGAGTTGAACTCTCCCATTTAACCTACGGTAATCGCGATTGAAATTCTCGGTATTATGCATTCCCTGTACGCCTTGATTTGTTTTGACTTTTTACGAGGTGTTTGTATATGTGATCAATACACGAAATTTGTAAAAATGGTGGGGCACAGTGGCAAATTATTGACTCTGTACATTATTTCATAGTATTTTAGTCCAAGGAAGAAGGATCCACGTGCGACAAAGAGTGTTAATCTGTGAAAAGTCTGTCAACGGTTGAAAAAGATTAATTGTACGTATTTATTGAGGTAATATATTTTCTGGGATTTGTAAGGACAGTCAACGGTCTATAAAGTTTAGAGGTAAGTATTCATAAATTACCTTTTTTCCTTCATTAGTACTCGAAAGAACTGTCACCAATGACAAACTGACACTTTTTCTGCTACTAGGATTTTGAAAAGAAAGCAATTTTCGATTTTTCAACAATCTCTAGCTCTTTATTAGGTCATGTTCTGAGCATCGGTTGCGGTGTGATGCATATTTCAGGTAGAGCACATTCTCAAACGGCGACGGTGTTCCTACTCTGCTGGAACGTAAATCCGGCGCCGACCCGGACGTCGTTTTGTGGAGATTCCCCCTCAAGGGATCTCCTGCAGGGCCCCGCCCTAGCCGAGAAAAGCTCTAAACGCCCGACTGATATCCCGATTTGCACTATCAGGTTGTGCATGTAAGTGTGTTGGAGGGGAGAGAGGAGAGAACAAAGATCATCAATGATTGTGCTCTGTCCCTGGTCCTTTCATTAGAATACCTGCATTTACTTAGTGTCGATCAGAAAAACGACGGGAAAGCTTCCTGTCAATGAATATCTAGCTCGCCCTCTCTCGTTCGCTCGCGCTCGCTCGCTCTCTACAATTCTGTAGCACCACTGGTCTATTTAACCGACTCTCCGGCCGAAGTACGAGTGCTTTAATTGATGGTAGAAATATTTTTTCGAAAACAATACCTGATGTGAAAATGAGCTTCAAACTGGCTCATTTTCAGGAACGTCAAAATCCCAGTTTCTTGAGCTCGGATTTTTTTTAGTAGAGCTATACGGCAGGGAAGAAGTACTCTCCGAAATGACGTCTAGATGCTTCTATATCTACTAGATAAACGTGTCAAGTGCAGTGAGTTCTGTCACACTTCGCATCTCCTGCAAGATCCAGTGCAGGCGTACCCCTACGATGCGGGTTGGCTGACGCCACGAGATATCGAACTGTCCTCTTGATCTCGTCGCAAAACGCTTCACGGACTCTCAATTTCTTGTACGTCATTTTAAGTATTTCTTAAGGCGTTCGCTTAGCAGGAGCCAGAGACGCCGTGACTCTCTTGAAAAGTTTGGAAAGCTCCTGTACGGCCCATCGCTAATAATAAAACAGTTTATTTCCGTAAATGTGATCTATTCTTATTTTCCCCCCTTTGCAAGCTTATATTTTGCGGAATTGATACACTTTTAGGAAGGATTCTCTTCAATAGCATCTAGCAATCTTGTAAATGATAAAATCAATTTAATCAATTCTGTTATTGATATTATAATTTCATTATCCGTGTATGTTTTATTTCCTAGTAAAAGTTTTATTAGTAAATAAAAACATGTAGTTTAAAAGGGAGGCCCACAGGGTCCCGAAATATAGACGGTCCGCGACCCCGCGTGCGCCTGCGCTAGACGCTTGCGCCTGCCATTGACGCCGCGTGCGCCTGTGTACCCTATTTGAAGCTGCGATTGTGTCATACGTGGTACCAAAAAGGCGCAGTTTTCGTTCGTCAGAGACGTGTGATGGAATAATGGCTTCTTTCCTCTAAACCACTAATAATAATGTTCACAGGAAGTATGGTTACTAAGTCATAAGTAATAATATTAACATGTTTCCCATGCATGTGGTTTTACCAAACGACCCCCTGCGTTACGAACCAATTTTAAAGGTGTTTCATCTGGATATGGGTCTCGTAATTTACCTAACTCTTTTGATGCAGTTCTGTTCTGGAAATGGGGGGAGGGGAGGGATAAAATGTTACGTTTAATTACGTCTCCCATTCCTCTTTATGTTTAATTGCCACAATATGAATCTCGTTTTTTCCCAAGCCTGTTTCTGTAATCTTGTTCTTGCATACTTTTTGAATAACTCGTTTGATCTCATCTTTGCATTCTTCGAATTATTAAAAGAGTTTGATTTCATGCATCCTATTGATGCCGCATCTTAAGAATATGGCGTTAAATTGTATAATTACACAAAGAAATTAAATACTTGTTATAACGTATACATTGTTATCTTCTGTGTTTTAGGTGGATTGTACAAAATTTGATTTGCGTATTAATATATGTTGCAGACAAAAACTGACTTCGCCAAGATGGAATCGTTTCAAAGGCATCCGGTTGCGATGGAAGGACAAAATTCGACTCAACAATGTCATATGGCGTTGTTGGCATATGCAATGTGAGTAGTGGCGCAATTTAAGACCCTTGAGTGAGAGTTGTTTCTCCCTTATCTTGTGTTTTAGGGCTTATTTACATGAAGTTTATTAAGTTACCAACATTGTGATATTTTAAAACAATGTCTTTCTCGTATTATTGCGTATTTGCTGGTAAGTATACGTATCAGAAAGAAAGTTATGTATGTGATGCTGCGTAAAATCGACGGCCGGCCCGGGGATCGAACTCGGACCTCCCAATTGCGAATCCAGCCTCGTACTCACTGAGCCACTTCCCTCGGGATACATCACAATCTCTATCTTTTTCTCTCTCTCTCTCTCTTTTTTTTGTTTCTCTTTTTTTATTTTCTCTCTTTTTTTGTTTCTCTCTCTTTTTTTATGTTTCTCTCCCTTCCTCTCTCTTTTTTTTTGGCCCGAATTGGTCACCGAAGATCACGCGAAAGTATACCAACGAAAATGTGTGTGTCTGTCTGTCTGTCTGAATGAGACCCAGCACCGAACCTTGTGGGACCTGGCGGTAATCCTTCGGCCCATCATCACTATTGTACACAATAATTCATTGATTCATATATTCTACCACTATTTTGCACAGATACGTAGGTTCATTGATTTAATGGAGTGCCTTATGAACACCACTCCACCTTGCCGTGTGGAAAGCTTTCTTAATGTCCATTGTTACGATTGCACAGTACTTTTTTGGACCTCTTCTCCACCTGCTCCCTCTGATGGCCTGACAGGCAGTGTCTAAGTCAAGCTTAACAGCATCGATTGTTGAACGATCCTTGCGAAAACCATACTGGTTCTCGGAGAGTCCACCTCTTTTATCTTCTGCATCTTCCAATCTTGCGCTAATGATATGCTCTAAAACCTTACCCGCGGTATCGAGCATGCACAGCGGCCGGCAAGACGCCGGCTCTTCCGGAGGTTTTTTCCCCTTTGCAAGAAGTACTAGTTGTTTCTACCATCTCTCAGGAAATATCCCTTCTCTCAGATATGTGTCGTAGAGGTTCACGAATACATGAGTGCGTGCGGATAGTGCTGGGATACTATCTGGCCCTTAGACTTAGACCTTAGACTTACCAATTCTGTTGATTAAGTGCAGGAGTTCATCCGTAGTGACTGGTATCAAGTGGCACGATGTTCGTCGGTTCGCCGGCGAGGTGTGAGGATAAAGTTGTCACAATTCTTCGAAGAATGTTAAGGCAGGTTAGAGATTAGGTATGCGACTTTATAAACTTACCCATGATCGTTGCCGAGCTACTGCACTCCACAGCCCACGCATTGAAGTCCCCAGCTATCACGAGGGGGCTGCGTCCTCTGGCATCAAGAATTAGACGGTCTAGAAATTGCTCAAACTCATCAAAGTAGCGTTTGGGGACGCATAGCAGATGCAGATATATATATATATATATATATTATATATATAATATATATATATATATATATATATATATATATATATATATAATATATATATAATCATTTTTTGACCAAACGAACTTTATCTCGTGTCATTACTTGTTGAAGAAGGCGCATCCCCATGCCCTGAATTGGCCTACTATTATGGCAGTAAGGCGGACCACCCATGATGACTCGCCGCGATTTCTATATTGTTCACATAGGATCCGCAACAATCTGTCTCCCATTCTCTTCACAGATTGAGCAAGGATATCCTGAAGCAACTTGCACAATGGTTCAGATTTAGTTTGAACAATTCGCAAGGTCTGTCCAAATATTGCTCTTAGCGCTGCTTGGCAAGGAGTACAAACCTGTTACATCCTGTAGTATGTTTGCTGGTCTTTGCCGTTTTGTTCGCACAGTAGATCTTTTGGAACACTCGTGTCTTTGCCAAGTGATATCTCAACCGAAATTCATGCTCAACAATTGGGTTATGCACACGGGCTCTTCCATGCTCGACTCATATGTTTAAAATCTAAGGCATTTGAAGAAATCTGAAGGGGTTTTCCTATCACGCCATGTGCAGTTTACCCCATGCCTATCTCACATTTACCAACAGCGAACAGTGTGGTCTGAATTGAATGCGGTGGTTAGTGATTCGTGTGTGTGTCTGAATGTGAGTGCGTGTGTGTTGTCTGATATGTGGTGCGTGTGTGTGTGTGTCTGAATGCGTGGCGCGCTGCGTGTGTTGTTCTGAACGTCGTGCCGAGCTGCGTGTGTTGTGTCTGAATGCTGATGCGGGCGCGCTGTGTGTGTCTGAATGTGAGTGCAGTGTGTGTGTTCTGATGTGAGTGCGTGTGTGTGTGTCGATCTGATGTGCGTGTGTGTGTTGTAGTGGCGTGTTGCGTGTGTGTGGGTGTCTGATGTGAGTGCGTGTGGTGTGTTATGTGTCTGAATGTGAGTTGCGTGTCGTGTGTGTTCGTGGTGTTGTCTGAATGTGAGTGCGATGTGCGTGTGTGTGTGTCTGAATGTGAGGCTGGCGTGTGTGTGTGTCTGAGGATGCTGTTTTGTTTATGTGGCGTGTGTGTGTGTGTCCTGAATGTGTGTGTGTTGTCCGAATGTGAAGTGGGTGTGTGTCTGAATGCGAGTGCGCGCGCGCGTGTGTGTGTGTCTGAATGCGAGTGCGCGCGCGTGTATGTGTGTGAATGTGAGTGCGCGCGCGCGTGTGTGTGTGTGGATGTGAGTGCGCGCGCGTGCGAGTGTGTGAATGTGGTGAGGGGCGTGTGTATGGCCTAGTTACTTTTATTTCTTTTATGCATTTCATAGTTTTTGTGCTTTTAATGTGTTTCAGTCATTATGAAGCAGAACACAATGGTGTGCCAGTTTGCCTCTCCTCTGGATGTGGACACACACAACAAGCCAGAGGTAATGAACAAAGCTGTATAGATGGCCTCCAAAAACACAGACTGTGTGGTGTAAGGAACTAGTCTCAAGCATTAAGTTGCATGATTGGAATGGTGTATGTGTCACCTTAAAAAATTGCATCATAAGAAATTGTCACACGGAGTGGAGTAATGCATAGCATATTTGCACTAATAAATTCTCCAAATATTATAAATGAGAAAAGAAAAAATTAGTTATAAAAATCTTAAACTTGCATCTTCTTGTTTACATACAGTACAATAGAACCTCCAATCTGAGGTAATGAGAGCCAAAATGTTCTTAAAAATTTCTTAATTTTCAATTCATTAATTTAATCATTTTTGTTATTTCCCACATACTACTTTCATTGTATAGGGAAGTCGTATGCGATGCTGCAACAAATAACAGCAGGATGTATTGAAGGCCCCTTACAATGACAAAATTGAATAATTCTTGTTTCTGAATGTAGTAAATGTGGGGTTGTGCATAAAATATGGAGGAGGAGAGGTGGTTTTGAGGCAGTGTTACACTGCGAAACATAGAGGTAGTGGGTGTTAGTTTAGTGTTGCTTAACATTGATTATTTTTTATTTTGAACATTTTCTTAAATAATTGTTTGTGCACAATGTGTTATGGGAAATTGTTTCATCTATGCATTTTTCCTTCACTCAGAAATGTTCTCCAATCTTATTGTTAGGTGCGGTCAGCATCATCAATTAATTCTAACTTAAATTATCATGAATTGTAATATATAACACAAATAAAATTATAAAAATAGTTTTTATTGATATATGATATATTTTTATTTACTGTAAGTGAGGGGGTGTTGTCACATGTTTTACGTAATTAGTTAGTGTGGGTGAGTGGGTGGGGGGTTCGAGCTCATTTTACAGGGGGAGTGGGGATATTGAAAATCCTGAGTTGTCGTTACCTTCAAAAACTAGAACAAGAGGCATGTTCTGTCTTGTAAAGACACAAGAGCAAAAACAAAAGTTTTGTTGTTGTTGGCAATGTATTTTCATTGAATAAATTCTTTATGAACAATTACCAACTAATTAGTTACTTAAAAACTCAAAATACTAATATTTGTATTTGTATACTGAGTATTTATCTCTAGATTCTGGACATTAAGAGCAATTTGTGACAGGTGAGAATTTAATATTTTATTTTTTGTAGATAAAAACGTATATAATACGATCTACTGTTTTTAGAAAATGAAAAGAAAAAAAGTGTTCATCCAGGTCATGAGGTTTTTCTCTCATTCTTTTCTGAACACTATTTTAAGCCTTATCTTAGGAAATAGATCTTCTGTCATCGCCTGATGTGACTTCAGGCTGTCGTGTTGGAGGGGAAGTACTGGAAGAGAAGACTTGCTGCTCTTTCTGCCGAATACAAGAAATGGCGCATGTTCCATCGGAACCGGATTCTTGGATGGTCATCAAAGGACAGTCCAGATACTGTGAGCAAAGTTACTTTTCAAAAAATATTCACCAATATAAATAAAAAATACAATTCTTCTGCAATTTCTGCAATTTGTGTCAGTCTGCATGTATTAAACTAATTTTTACTTCATTCATCATTTTTTTGGATTTTCTCATGAGTACATTTTCAAATGCAGCACTTTGTGATTCTTTATGCTCCTCATTTTCATAGCTTCAGACAGACATGGACATGTTTGATTGGCAGCCACATAGCAATGACAGCAATTCAATGAATTCAATGATGGTGGATGAAGATTACATGGAATTTATGAGTGATACCCTCTTTTCTACCATTCAGTCAAATCAGCCTTTTGCATTTCCTGATCCTAGAGAAATCGGTAAGCAGATGTAAATTGTTGGGTTGATGGAAAAATGAATGTATTAAAAATATAAAACAGTGAAAAATAAATTAATATTTCCCTTAAATGTAGACATTTAAAATACATGTATACCAAATAAAAATGTGAAAAATTATGATTATAGCAAGAGGAGCTGGTCTTGCAGACTTCATCCAACCAAGTTTAGTTCAACTCCAGCCCAACCTAGATGATTTCATGGATACTTTGGAACCATTGCAAGGTAAATTAACTAAAGAATAGGCCAAATGCACGTTCATCACTGAAAATATAAAGTAAACTTGTGCAAGAAAATTCAGCATAATATTGGGGAAAATTGAGTAAAGCAGTGCTTGATACTCCTTCCCCTTCTTTCCCACTCACTCATACACATTCCCAAGAAAACTGAACATATTCAGGTCTCTTGAAACAACCACAAATATGAGTTAATTTTTCTGTTTGCATTATGTACCAATTTACCATTTCCATTTTACAATACCAAATAGAAATATTAAATATGACACCATGATTACTGATATCTTGCTTAGTAGGTGGGTCAAAATTTCCTTTTAAAAATCAATCACTATACACTTTTGAATTCTACCATCTGCAATAACTCAATGGCAGTGTCTTCTGCTGTAGTATAGATCAGGAATTTCTAGAGTTTGAATTCCAGTGTTGGGAAATTTTTGACCTAAGCTACATAGCTGAGTTGATTTCACCCACTGTCTTGAGAATAATAGTGACCAGCAGCTCTGCTTTGGAGTTTTCCATATTGTTTTTTATCAGAGGCAGTTGCTGGAAATGAACTTTAATAAATGTGCCACACATGCAATCTTTCTTTCCTCGCCCTTGTCCCCTCCTCTCTATTTACAAGCATATTCTAGCACATGTCAGGAGCTGGGGTGTACCCCGGTGTGGAGAGATGCCAGGAGAGGGAATTCCCACGCAAACTGACATGTCGATCAGCACTGGATCTCTCATTGCAGCATAGGAGGACACCCATGAGGATATAACATGCTTTATACTTACTGGAATAGTGACCCAATACTTGGCATTAGGGAATATTAAATACTCATTCGCTTTCAGATTAAAATTACACTAGAAAAACATTTGAATGTGTTTGAAAATATTTTTACCACTCTCTCCCTACTTGTATTTACCTCTCCATTCTCCTATACATGACATTAAAAGTCAACCAAAAGTATTGATGTATCACGATGCTTCATAAGTTTGTGGTGTATTTATTTTTCAGATCTTGTATCTTTGTCGCACATTATGAAACTGCCATCAGTTCCAGAAGAATGTGTAGTTGATGATCTATATCGTTCTACAAGATCAAATGCAGTGACATTTCCTGAAGTTTTGGATAACCAAAATACATCATTACAAGTGCAATTATCACAACACCAACAACAGAAGCAGCAACAGCAGCAACATCACCAGCAATTACAACAACAAATACAGCAACAGATTCAACCTCAACAACTTACAACTCAACTACCTCAGCAGCAGCAGCAAACACAACAAAACCTTCAATACACTGCTACTATATTTGCACAACCAGAAGTTTCATCGTCATTTCCCCCTGCTACAAATCTAATTACAAGACCTCAAGATTTTGCTCAAGGTAAAGTGCTACAAATTTTCTTTATTCAATTACTATAAAAAGAACTGAAGAGAATAAATAATAATATCATTTATCAAAATTCAAACAAAACAAAATTTAGCATAATATAACAGACTCGATTTGCAAAAGAACTATTTAAAAAATATAATTTCTTCCTTTTTTTGGAATTCCCTCATTTATTTGTATTGTTTTTTGACCATTTAAAATATAAACAGGATAAAATAGAGTACATGACCATTGATACCTGTTTTAAAAAATAAAATTTTCTGAGGATAGTATGTATAGATGAATGTTATTGTCTATCTTTATTTGGGACAGGCTCTGTGAATGTGACCTTCAATGAGGTGGCACCTGTTTCAAGTAATGTGCCAGCTCGACCTGTTCCACCAACAATATCTATAGACAGACGTTTAGCTCGCTCAGCACAGAAGTCTTCAGAAAATCGTGTACTCTCGCGTCAGCAAGGGCAACAGCAACATCAACAACAGCAACAGCAGCAGCAACAACAACAACAGCAACAACAGCAGCAACAACAACAACGACAACAGCAGCAGCAGCAGCAGCAGCATCAAGCAGATCTGTTTCAATCTCAAGTTGCTCAGCAAACCATATTAATGGCACAACCTCAGACACAACCTCAAACTACTCAAAACACTGCAAACTCATATCAGCAAGTGCCTTCAACTAGGCTGTCGCCATCATCCGTCCAATCTCAGCCCTTCCCTGGTCAGCAAGATACATTCATTTCTGCATCTCAGCCCTCACCTGCACCACAGGTATGTCTTTCTGTGTCTTTTTGAAATAGAAATATAATATTAATGATATCCAAGCAAGTAGTCATATCTAATTTACCCAACATCTTTCAGTATGATCAACATTTAGAAACAATCTTACGATCCTGATGTTTTTTTATTTATCTTTGAATATTGAAATTCACACTTAGTGCCTTAAAAGTATTAAGTGTACTCTTATTTTCTTTAATTGAAAATATATTAAAGTCTTAGTAATTCAAAATATTAACCAGTAGAATCAGTACGGAAAATCAACTATAGCAAATCAAGTTTCGATGGAGTTTTGATGGAACTATTACATTATTTCAAGGTTCATTTGGATCTCAAAAGGAAAAAGATTTGTCCTATCAGAAAACATACTGCCGACTCTGAATCTTAATTTTTCATTTAATTGTTCTTGACCATTGTATAGTGTGTGTGTGTGTGTGTGTGTGTGTGTGTGTGTGTGTGTGTGTGTGTGAACGGGGAGGAGAGTACATTTTTTTCCTTCTTTCCTTTTTTCTCTCCAGTATTTTATTGGCAAAAGTACAGTAAAACTTCACTTATACGTTTTTCAGGGGACTGAATTGAAAAAGTGTATAAGTGAGAAAAACACAAACTGAAATAGAATATTATGAGCAAAACAAAAACTCATTATTTTTACACTGGCATGCTCCACTCTAGAACCTGCTACATTTCTTTGGATTTATTTATTATCAAAGAACTGTGTAAGTGATGTATGGAGGAGAAGTGCCATTCGTGCATGTTTTCTTGAGCTCCAGAATCTCTTCCCAAGGTTTTAAGTATAATTAGTTGAATGCTGAATAAAAGTTTCAAAAAAAGCAACTTTTTAAAAATAGTCATGTTAGCTCGCTTGCATAGAAACTTATTTGCATTGATAAACAAACTGCAATTTATTTTTATTTTTTATTGATAACAAAATAGTATTACCCCCCAGCTCTACTTCTATCACTGCTTGCAAAAGGTGAGCTCCACAAAACGTACCCAAAATAAAGCTACATTTATCTCCAGAATCTAAACAAGGAACCATCTCAGCATTTGCTCAATATATCAGAGAAACTGGAGAAAAGTATTATTGAACCCGGAAGTGCATTACTTTTTACCGGTCATTGACCCTGTTGCTGAAGTACACTACTTATTACTTAGAAGACACGTGGGCCAGGCCTAGCCACTCCCGGTGCAAAAGATAGCACTGATATTCGCAAATTATGCAGCCAGACCTTTAATCCTGTGTCAAACGCGTTGCGCTGATGCGCGGTACCTAACGCCGTTGCATTGACGCCCGCATCGTCACTTAATGCGCGTCGTCGATTGTTACTGAATCGTATGCGTAACGGCACGCGTGCGCTCTTGCACGAACATTGTTGCCACCACGCGTCGCGTATGGAAAGCTAGAAAACTGCGTTGTAGTTTGAGCGTCTTGCTTCATCTGGCGGCAAACCGCACCTCGCAAAGAGCGCTGGTTTGTCGTTTCGCATAAGAATTAATTCGTTAATCCTCAACGCGCATTAAGTGACTGGTGTGCTCAGGCATCATCGCGCGTCGACGCTTTTTTCCTTTAAATGCGCTGAATTTTTATCGTGCAATGTTGCTGAACATTATGAAAAACCTCTCCGGACTACACCAACTTCCCTATTTTTTTATCTTTTAATTTTGTCCAAAATTTCAAAATGGAGAGTTGAAACCAGTAACGATGAAATTAAATAACGTGAACAATGAATTCAACACAAAAATTCCTTGGGCTCCTGTCAATAATGTAAATAATCCTTATTAATCACCTTTGACGTGATATCATTTGGCCTTTAAAGGACAGTAATGAAAATCCCTTAAAGGGACTTTCATTATTAACGTATTAGCATGAAAAATATATAAACAGAAAACTCATATCACAAATAATTTAGCATAGGAAGTGGAGGATTTTATGCAAGGTTGATAAAAACCAACATGTAAATGTGAAAAATGTATGAGTGCAAAACATGTGAACAAAGTTTCAATGTACATTTTTTTTGCTTACAATTAATTCTATTATCTTATTGAATGAACGAATTTGTAAGTTTCTAAACATAAAGCCTAAAAAACCTACTTTTTTATGTGCCATTAGTTAATTTTAAAACTTATATAAACTCTAAAATTTTTGGATTTGTTTGCATTTACCAAAGAATGTATTCAAGGAAATTAGCTCACATGAAATGCAATGAAATTAATTTTGATACGTATTTTGAATATCTGGATTTTTTCTTAAATATAGAAGGTTTTTAATATATTTTTGTTGCACAGTTATTTTCTTTGCTTCTCAAAGAAGTCAAACAAATATTCACTGCTCTAAACATAAATGTTTTATTGTACTAAAATTTGCACATTTGCCCTTTATTGCTGAAAATAAAAATTAAACTTTAAAGTAATGAAATAACATTTCATTTTTACAAATAAAAGAACAAAACAAGGAATTACTTCAGTATATCCGGCAGTTTAATTCTGATTTTTATGAATAAAGTATATATATAAAAATTTAAAATCACTGTTTTTAGCTTTCAAGTAGTACAGTTATCAAATGTCTCTGGTATTCCAGTCTACAATCTTGTGAACTCAGTCTTTCTTCTCCACTCCATCCCAAAGTATTTCCCCTAACATTTACTTGTAACCCTTTTTCTTATTTTACCTTATCATCCTTTTGATGAGTTGAACTCAACTGTATATCTATATATTCATAATTTAATTAATGTCAAAAAGAATTGACCTTGTACTTCACTTTTAATAATATAGATATAGCAGACATTTTCAATCTTTTCTTAAAAGCAGCTCTGATTTTTTTCTCTCTAAACTTCTTGCTTCAAATGAGAAATGTTCATCTAAGAGTATGGAAAAACAGGTGCAAGAAACATTTGAACAAACAAATCAAAAATATTTCAATTTGTTTAAGATATTTTTGTCTGAACAAATAGCACTGTACACTGAATCAAGTGAAGTAAACAGTAAGTGTAATTGTCATTCAGACTTTTAAGTTTCAAAAATTAAAAATATTAATTTTTTCAAACAATGTCAAAATCTGACTGATTTCAGAATTAGCCAGTTAATGTTCCTCTTATTCAGTAGTAAAATTAAAAGTAGGAATAGCTTTAAAGCATACTTCTGGCTTCAGCCAGATAGTAGCACACATTAACCAACACAAAATGGCTGGGATAGGTTAAGCCACGGTGGTGAGGAATAGCAAATGATATGTGACAATCAAGAATCAAATAGCTGGTAGGAAGTTTCTAAGTCACACCCAAAGTGGGAGATGGTCTGTTGTTTCAAGTTCCAATGTGACAGTTGTAAACGTCTATTATACCTACTACTGTACCGTATAACCCGACTTCAGTATATGTCATAGTCGTTTTGCTATGTATTTCTGACCTTCACTATTTTCGTACAACAATTTTGAGTCTGTGTAACACAATTTCGTGTGCCTTTTAAGCCAAAATTATTCTTGTAAACTCACCAGGCATCTCAGACAGTTATTTTACTTTCGCCAGCGCCTGTGGCTAACTCCAACATTAACTTGATAATTTCCAAAATAATTCATTAATCTTCTTTCATACAGCTTTATCCACATCTTGTGGCTTACGTGCAAATTAACTGAATACTCCTAACAGCTGTGTATCGGATAGTAGCTGTGATATATACATTACAAATGGAATGTTATGGTTTTACGGATCAATAAACCCAAGAGCTTACAATAATCGCTCATGAACAATCTTAAAAAATTAAACTCTTAAAAGTCTCAGAAATAAAATATTGTGTTTCTTTTTTTCTGTAGTTTTGGCAACTTTTGAAGAATATTTTTATTTAAAAGTTTTGGAACCCAGATATTTAAAGCTGAAGAATCTAACTTTGTTTGTGGTAGCAATGAATTGTGACAGACATCCATTTTGATGTATATTCAACTTTACCAAACAAGCTATTACCATATACTGTTAAAAAGAAGCTCAATTTTCCTAATAAAGAAACATTAAAAGATAATAGGAAATGGAGTGGAGCTATGTGATGAATTAAATTTGCAAGAATTTGCTGAAAAATCATTACAATATATATTTCAATATAATTATTATAATTTTATGTAAAAATTACAAATAATACAAGAATGTCTTTGCTACATTGTAGCTCCCACTCTTTTATTCATTTTTTAAGTTTACTAATAGTAAGTGAGGGTCTATTTCTTCTGTTTTGATTACTAATATTGGTAATTATCACTGGTAAACAATAGATAAAAAAAACTTACATCATTCAAGCATTCCATATTTTACTAAATTCCTTTGCACCTAAATTTATTTAGAAAAATACAATGGACTGGGTATTAATATTAACCAAAATAGTACAGGGTCAAATATTAAAGGATCTAATATTGTTATAGTCTCTGACAAGTGTGTTCAATATGCTATTGCCTACTAATGATTGCCCCTTAGTGTATCACTGTCATGTTGTGATGTGTCAAAGCCTTGTATTGTCCTTGACTGGCATTATCTTTCAGGTTCCTGGGTATAAATACCCCACATCTTCTCCCCCCACACTACCTGCTGCTGCAGGAGACCCTCCCCTGAATGCAAGTGTGTCTCCCCCACGCAGGCAGAATGTTCGTTCTAATAGTCTGACCTCTGAAGATGACTTCTTTGCTGTACCTAAGGTGTGTGAAACAGACCACGTATGAAATATGAAATGGGTTAATGTGAGATTTTACTCTTATCTTGTCTTATTTCCTTGAATTTTTCCATTTAGAAACCTTTTTGAAAAGAGCACCAAGTTAAAAGTTGTAGTGAAATAGCCCAAATGTAGCAGTTGGTTGTTATTCTCTCCTTAAGTATCACATGTACATGTTATCTGATGAAAATGATTGTTGTTAATCAATTTGTTTTTTGTTTTTTTTGTTTTTTGTTTTTTTGTTGTTTTTTTTCCTCCTTGTATGGTGTCACAAGAAAGTGACTTTCAAAAACAAATTAAATCCTCCCAGATTTCTTTGTAAATAATGTAATTATGCAGTATTGCAAGAATGTTAATATGTATTTTGGAGTATTCGTAGAGAAACATACTTGCTCTTCTTTACTCCATTCCTTGGGAAGTAAGCTATTCACTATCATTCACTCTTGATTATTTCTGTATTTGTAATGTGAACATATATTTTAGTTGGGCGTCCCAAGTAAATAAAAAAGAATTGAAAAGGAAAAACATCCTCTTCCCTTTTAAAAAATGCCTTTCTCTAACTTCTGCTTTTGGCAAATTTATTGCACATTTTAACTTTGCATGAAAAGGTATTAGTGTGTGTTTTTTAATTCAATACTTTTATTTTTTTAAATTTTATTATCATTATTTTGTTCAAATTTTGTTCTTGTCATGTTTGTATTATAACATTTCCCTGTGTTATGTGCATTTTAATAGGTTTTAAGGTATTTAATTAGATGATTGTTTAATACCCTTTTCCTTTTTCTCCATTGATTGCTGAAAATGTTTTGTAGTGGTTGATGTCCCTCTGTATTCACCCCTTTCTTTTTTTTTTGGTAGAAAAAGAACCTAATTTCCTTTTTCTCTTTGACTATAGTAATCATACTTTTAGAGCACATTAATTCACAAATTTCTTTGAGCATAAAAGGGGAACACACCCAAAATTTGTATGTTCAGTTTCTAATAATAACTAGGATTTCCTGCTAGAAAATGTTTCAAAGCAATATTTTATATGAAGCCATGGTCAAAAACATTACAATTCATTGAAATGATCTCATCTTGTATTTGCATCTTTCTGTGTTTCAAATTGAGTTTTATGAATTAAATGCTAATAATGATTTATGATTGAATTGACAGTTCAACAAAAATAAGCTGCACATTCGGAAGACAGTTAGTGGATCTTCGCTTGCAACTCCAACAACTCAACGTCAACATCCTCCGCCACTGGTGTCGACAAATAGCGATCCAAATCTACCAACTGTTTCCAGTAGCACTTTGCAGCCTCTTCTAGCCCAGCTTCTGTCTACAAGTAATAAGTTCAAATTTTATTAGAATATGTTCGATGCATTACGGATTGCCTTTTTGTTACTGTAGTTGGAATTTATTGTAGTATTCATATTAAGCATTCACAGTGGCATCCTGCTTTTGCCCTCATTCAGTAAAATATTTGTGATAACAAATTAAATTTGTCAGATAAATTTTATTGGTTTTTGTAATGCAAGTTGCTTTAATTTCTTCATACATTCTCTGTTGGTCAGCCAGTTTTTACTGTTAATTACTCATAAATGTTTGTCTCTTTCGTTCTGAACAAGTTTGTTCTCTATACTGAAAGACAGTTGTCAGATTGGTGGATTTACCCGAAGATTTGATGGATTTTTTTGGGCTATTTGGGGGCAAAGTGTTGGCAGTTCCTGTATAAATAATAAAAAATTTTGCACTTTAAAAATGTACCTATAAACTATATTGACTCAGTCTTAAGCTCATGACTCCATTCACAAATTTGAATATCCTATTCATGAATGCCATCTACACTACAGTGTACTACATTCCACATACACAAAAGTGTTGTCGTGCACTTATATGGGTTTCTAGTGGGTCTAGAGCATGCCGAATTGTATATCCCTCTATGAGAGGTATATACAATTCGATACGCTCTTTACTTATGTACCTAGTATTTAAACCTTCAAAACTGCCTATGCAGACAGACTCATCCATTCAAAAGTATAAAGGAGAATGGGACTTGGATGTTGTAATTAAAGATGTTTTATTAATTTGTTTTTAAATTACAATTTACGAATTACAATTCAACAAGCTTGTATATGCACAAGAATACTTCTTTTATATTAGGACACTTCATCAACTTGTTTATTAGCAACAACTGTGATTTTTTAAGTGCAAAGAGAACACGTAGGGACAACACAAACAAGCACAAACATCCTTGCCCAAGGCAGGATCGGAACCAAGGACTCTTGGAGTTGAGGCAGCTTAGATATGGCTCTCCAGTCTTAGCAATCGCGGCTATCCAGACCAGTACACAAGGAATTGTCTACACCATTTTCTTAATTTTTATAGTAACAATTTTTAATTAATATTATTCAAGCAGTTAAATTTTATCGGTTTAATATTATTTTATTTTGGAATTAATGTATAACACAAATTATATTATATTGGACAAATAAAGTAATACATAAAATTGTATGTCAAATGTACTGTGCAACTTTAAAAATATCTAGAAAAAATTTGGGGGGATTATTTCATAATCTAGGAGGAAAATGTCATCTTGGTGGAATAACAGTGGCAACACTGCTGAGAGATCTTCAGTTCATTTTTAATATGCCATTCCTCTTCTTTTCAGGATATGTTTTCTTTTTTCATGGTTTTCATATTTTTGTCTTATTTTCTTCAATTTTTTATAGATGCAAACAATGGAGTCTTTAACTTCACTGGAGCATCAGACCGATTCAAGAGCTCACAAGTTGTGCCTATTCTTCCAATGCCAACACAAGGCATGAATAATACTGCAAGTTCTGGAGCTTCACAAGCATCGTTGCCTCAATCAACGACAGCACTGCTTATTACTACTCCTGTAACAATGACATCTGTTGCTCCATTGTCATCATCTGGCACAACTCAACCACCCAGTGGTAGTCATGTGCTCCTTAACACTTTCCCTGCCAGCCGAAAGCCCACGTATTCTCCTGATAGCTCCTCCAGCTCAATGGGTGTTGGTTTATGCTCGTTGGTGCCTTCCCTTAATGTGCCACCTATGGCTCCGCCAAAGCCTCTTTGTGTGAGACCCGATTCAGCTAGTCAGCGGATTCGAAGACCGGACTCTACTCCTCCCAAGGTATGATTTGTTTCTTTTAATAGCAAGATTTAGGAATTGATTTGAGTGTAAAGAGTGAGTTGAATCAAGTGGTGCTATGATAAAAATTAAAAACAAAACACTGAATTAGAAAATCACAAGAACTGTTCGATTTACAATTGAATAAAGCATGTCATGTCATGTCATGACTTGAGAATAAAAAAGGAGGGTTGGCATAACTTTTTAAGGTACTCATGTATCAATTTTGCAGTACAATAGAATGCCATATGATGATATCTAATAAAATATTATTGTATTTTGATTTTCTTGGTTTTCTTGAAAGATACACATAAAATGAAGTTTAAAATGTTAATTGAACAGGTAGCCTTACACTGTAACCTTCATTTTCCAGACAGATTAGTTGCTTTTTTGTGCATCTATCATTTTTACTTTCCTATATATCTACATCTATACGGAGTAATATATGTAATATAAGGCAAGTTATGTAATGCTGCGGAAAAACAATTTCAAGATTTCAAAGGAAATACACGTTTTAGGGTCCCCTGATACCGGAAAAGTAGTGATTTTCAAAACGTCTGTCCGTCACTGTCTGTCCCTCTTTTCGGCTGTCCATGTCGATATTCATGGTGCACTCTGAATTATCGAAAATTTCAAAAGTTTGAATTTCTTTCGGTGTTTTCCTACAACTACAAAATTATAGATAGAGATTTTTCCTTCAAAAAAAAAATTTCTTGACCATAATTTGTTCTTTCATTAAGGTTACGTGAAGATGTGTTGAAAATTTTAGTTCTTTTGGTGCAATTTGTGCAATTTTAAAAAATTACAAAAACAAGATTTTCTCAAAAACGGTTTGTTTGTTTGTTTTTTTAAGCTTTTGGTAGGGATAGTACTAAATGTACTCTCTAAGATGACATAAATGCCACATTGCTGTATTCTTTGTTTTTTCTAAAATTACAAAAATATAATTTTTTTGACTTGTCTCTCACGTTGTTAATATTTATATTAGGTGTATTTGTTCACATGAGTGTATTTATGAGTACATGTGCTTTAAATAATGTCATAAAGCTTCTCAAAATCTCAACTGTTTTCTGTCAAAACCAGTTCAAAATTTCGTTCAAAAAATCTTCCAAAAATGGTCCAGCATTTTTCTTTAGGTTCTGAACTTTAAATTTTTCTGGAGAAGGGTTGTTAGCCCATCACCCAACCCCCAACCTGAAGGACTCGGATTTTTGTTGGGTTTTCTCCCCTAGAGAGATTGGCTTCACCATGCCTTTTAGGGCTCTTACTCTCCAAATGGTTTTCTGTCAGGGTTTTCCTTTCCTTAGCCTTTGTGCTTATACCTATCCACAAGGCAGCACGTTTCTGGCAGTACTAACTCGTCATGTCACTAGGCTGTCATTGAGCTTTTGTGGTTTTTAATAAGAGCAGTCTCACCACAGATTACACTCCCCAAGCTCTGGTAGGCCATCTGCATTGATTCTGGGGGTCTCCAATCTTGTCATCATTGCCCCTTGCCTACATACCTATCTGTAGACCATTCTGCTGCCCACCACCTTGTGGATTTTTTCAGTTTTCAAACATAATTAGCTTTAGAATGACAGTGCGAAACAATGTGGCATGCAGAGAGCTACAGATCAAACTGGGCACCATCTCACAGTCTCTTTCCTATGATATCACATAGCCACAAGTAAATGCAACAAAACATGGCCGCATGGGTCCAGGCATTGAATTATGCAATGTAGCACTTAATTCATTGATATCTCAATGTAGAACAGAAATCTGTTTTTTTTTTTCTCTCTCTTTTTTTTTTCTTTCCATCCTTTTTGAAATGAAAATAATTTATTGCTTAAACAGAAATAACAATTTAGATCATTTTTTTATGTAATAAAATAAATACTTAAGGATTTTTTTAAATACTTTAAAATATATAATATAATGGTTTCAGTAAATTAAACAACATAGTAAAGGATAATCATGACCCCTGTATTATAGACTGATGCATCCATGCAATGTGGGTTACACATATAATATATTTACCTATATAAATGCAGGTACCTATATTCACTCAGCGTCACCTAGGGCACTCAGCATTGCATGTGGTGCTCTACCTGGAGCTGAACTAGTATGTCACACCTTCATCAAGGAAGCAAATAGACCCATCATGGTGTACTTCTTCCAGCGTAGGTGGTGCAGGATATGAATTGTTGTTAATACAGTGCCTCTGTCCGGGAGGTCCTAGGGTTCATGTTGTGAGTGTCTGAAGAATTCTAGCAGCCAGATGTTCTGATCAGTAATTTTCCAGTTTCTCCGATCAACGTCAGAGGAATGTCAGAGCTGTACCTTGACAAACAGACCACGGGCCACACGTGATCTTTCCTTGCACTTCTTTGTCCTATTCTCACCCTTATTTACCTACCACAAATGTCCACATACGCTACCACAAATGTCAAGTGACCAGTCAGGAGCTTAGAGTTTGACCCAACTGAATGATACCTTGGTGGTGGGAGATACCTGGTTGAGGAAAATTTATTTGCTGAAATGTAGATCACTGCCACCTCCCATGATAAAGTCATGCACTACACTTACGAGACTAATGACCTTAGCAGTTGACGTGCCTGGAAGTGCTAATCAGTCAAGTATTGCTCAGGTAGCACATGCGGATCCAACTTCTTTAAAAATACTTTAGAAGAGAAATAAGAATGAGTACTTGACTGTTAGGTCTGTGGTACCTGGAGCTATGAAATGGCTGACATATTACAAACACAGTCAAAAAACCCCCTTGCTTTATACAGGATTTGATCTCATGCCCTGTAGTTTGGAGTATTCCTCAAATGCATTTCATTAAATATTCACTACCTTACAAAACAGTGTATTATTGTGATGTATTGCAACTTCAAATAGCAGTACATGGAATCAAAGCATGTTGCAATGTCTTAGAGGTACATTGTTTGTAAGTTCTTAACCAGTATGGATCTGTAAAATGTAATACACGCATTTCAAGGTAGCTGCTGAAGATACTACTGTACTCAACTGGAGGTCTTTCCATTCAAGAGATGACTGTTGTTAACTTTTATTTATGAGAATTTGGTAATTTAATTATGCTAAGGAACATGAGGTAACTCATTTCTCATGAGAACTCATTAAATATTCATATGGTGTGGAATTTGTATTAATTTATTATGCTTTTATTTACAGCAAGAACATAGGAGGGAGTGCCACACCAAGGCCGAGCACAAGAGGCGATGCAACATCAAAAATGGCTTTGATATGTTGCACTCCTTAATTCCTCAATTACATCAAAATCCAAATGCCAAAGTGAGAGACTTTTCTTTACTCTGTCTCTGACAAACTTTATGGTTCATGAAATTTACAGTATTTGAAATATTGTTCAATTTAGCTTAGTAAGGCTGCAATGCTTCAAAAAGGAGCTGATTATATCCAGCAGCTGCGGGCAGAGAGGGACCAGTTAAGAGATGAAATGCAGAACTTGAAACATGAAATTGAATGTCTCAACCAATCAATTAGGTAAGTCATCCATAAATATATGAGTATAATTATGTACTGCTTTGTTATTTTACTGAAATATTTCTTTGTAGAACAGGAGCTTACCGATCCAACCCTCTCCTGATTAATTGCTTCAGGTTATGTCTTTGATTGCCACAAAGAGAGGGAGATGTCATCGTAATCCCATAGTAGTTTCCATCAGGAAATATGTCTTGCAACTCCCTGCTATTTCTCTGTAGCACTCCAATGGAGTGACCCCTTATTGGGCTGCATAGTAAGTGGGAACCTAGGAGATATTGATTCCCTTTCTATATCAATATATAGTTCTCCTGTTGTTGAGGAATATATCAAAGAAAAGAAGAATATCAAAGAGCAAAGTGCCTATTGTACATTTCTTTAGTCAGTGTAAAGACCAGTCATTCCAAACCTGGTTCCTCCTCTGTGTGATTGGCACAAGCTATCACTGAGTTGGCTTCAGTCAGTTGGTCTATCTTTGACACCTTTGACATCTTTGACATCACTGACTGATTTTGAGAAAAATTGCCTAACCATAAAATTTGGGACATGTAGGCTGTATGTTATCTTGTGCATGGCATCTCCTCTGGAAAAGCACATTTTAAGATTTTTATATTCAAAATGTTTTTGTATCTTATTACAAATATGAATTTTATCGTTTTTATATATTTTAATCTGCAAAGATCATTTGGCTAGCTGAGAATTCAAAGTGGTATAACTTATTAGTAAATGAGAAAAAAAGGGAAATGGTTTTCATTAATGTGCATTTTCTAATTGCATGTTTTGTGAAATTTTTAAATCTTGAAATTAGAAAGCTCTTACTATGTAGTCTACAAAACAGCTTGCAAGCAGAAATTGCTCTTAAACCACTTTCTTTTGTTAAGATGATACATTAATAATTATTATAACATGAATTTTGCCTTGCGTCTTATGGGGTGCACACCACCATGTAAAGTTGATGCATCTTTCAAAATCAAATCTGCCGATTTTATCAATCTGTTTGTATTTTTCAGCAATTGCCAGTCAATGTTGCCAGCTACAGGTGCTCCTGTGTCCAGACAAAGAGCTAGTAAAATGAGGGAAATGTTTGATGAATATGTACGTGTGCGTACACTGGAAAATTGGAAGTTTTGGATTGTATCCTTTACAACAGATTTAATGTTTTGAACAGTTTGTTTTAAGGAAATCAAGGTCTTCTTGAATTACACTTTAGATCTTTCTCTAACCCTTGAAGCCTGATTCATTTAGAATTACATATACTACTCTGTCAGGTTTCATTTGTGACCAGGCAACAAATTGCATTTTCTGTTACATTTAGAATTATCTTACATATTTAAATAAAATGTTATGAACTCAATAACTACCAAAAAATGAATTATCAATGTTTGCATATTTTATTTGTTTTGTAATCACAAAATGTTAATTACAAACAAGAATACTACCTGAATGCATAGTTTGGGCTAAAATAGAAATCATTGTTTTCTCTTTTCTCTCAGAATGATTAACTACACAATTTTTGTGTAGTTTGGGTCATATGATCATTGCATACAAATTCACTACACTTAAGTAGTTAAATAACACATAAATAAAACACATCTAGATCTCTTTGTTCCCATGTCTGACAAAATTATTGCTCCACATGTAACCAATGTTGAAATCCTCTTGAAATTACAGGATCTCTTATTGCTTCGCTTTTTCTCGACCAATTCTGTAACCTTTTTCTGTTTTCAGGTTCTGCCATTATTGACCCCCACAATGTATGATTGACATACAATCTTCAGTGAACATGTCAAAAATTGCTCTTACAGTCTCAGCCTTATTTCAAGATATTTCTTTTATTACTTCCTGAGTAGTTTTATCATCAAATCTTAGACAGCATAGATTGTCCTAAAAACTTGTGCCACTCATACTTGCCCAAAACAATGGTATTTTAAATTCTGGTGACCAGACCTCCTAAGAGGCTTACCTTTCTGAATGCCATAATAATCCTCCATATAAATCCCCTTATAATAATCATAAGACTGAGAAAAAAAATCAGTTCAGTGTCATTTATAATTCAACATCATTCAAGATAAGAAAATTTTGCCTTAGTTCTGTGCAGTTATTGGTATGATCTCATGTAATTCTTCTCATAACCACTGTAATGAAGCAGAAAAAAAACTTCTTATTGTAAATTTTTACTTTATTGTGTATACAGAATAATTTACTTAATATAAAGATATGTAATGCTGCGGAAAATCAATTTTGAAATTTCAACGGAAATACAAGTTTTGAGGTACTCTGATACTGCAAATTGGTTCTTTAAATGTCACAAAAGGAAACCCCTATTGAGTCAAAGCTCTGCGATTTTGAAAATCAATCATTCATTTTTGGTGGTAATTTTCAAGAAGCCCCTGCTCATTTTCAAAATTTTCTCAAAAACTGCCCCAAATTTTTTCTTTAAATTTCAGGTAATAATAGTGTGAAATACACTTATAAAGGTGGCCTAGGTATGTTTTTCACTGTTAACTCTGAATTTTCAAAAATTATAAAAGTATGAACTTTTTTTAGCAACTTCCTACAAATACATTATTGAAGATAGGGATTTTTCATTTCATATAAATTTGTTGTCCATAATTAGTTCTTTTATATCATGTACATTTTTTTGAAGCTTTTGGTAGTTTTTGCTTAATATTGCATGTATGTGCAATTCTAAAAAAATGACAAAAACTTGATTTTCTTGAAAATGGCTCAAAATTTTCTCTTCAAACTTTTTGCACAGACAGGGTCAATTGCACTCCTTAAAATGACATAATTTCATTTTGCTGTATTCTTTTGTATTTTCAAAAAATTCACAAATGTAATTGTTTTGAATTATTTCTCATACCATTAATATGTGCATTTCCAGTGATTTGTATACAAAATTGTAATTGTGAGTGAAAGTGCTTTAAATGACTTCCAGTTAAGTTTTTCGAAATCTCAATTTTTCTGTAAAAATGCGCTTAAAATTTTGCATTTACAGAAACGCTTAAACACCATTTTCATAAAAACGGCTCCAAATTTTTCAACATAACTTTCCATATAGGTCGAGGTTTTACTATTCTGAAGGTAATTTTTTTGATTCTGCCATTAGGACACCAAAAAATTGAGCAAATGGGCAAAAAATTATGTTTGGGTGGCAATAGATGGTGGCTGGCCATAGAATGGGGCTACAATATAAAGTTAGCTCAGACCAAAGAAATTAGAAAACCAACATTTATGAGAAAGTCTGTGCCATTCTGTCGCACCACTAGTTCTCTTATTATTTGATGTGCAGATGCACCCACTTCTTAACTTTTGGAGTAATTTTACTGTACATTATTTCATAATTTCTGCTACAAAATGGTGTGTCACTAATTTCAAATATAGTACCATTTATTTTCACAGACAAATTACACATGAAGTCCCCAGAAGAAGCCATGACACAAAAACTCTTGTGAATCCGGTATGGAGTTAGTTGTGACCCATAACATAAAATACATATTACCTATCTTTATACCTTCATTAAAAATTAATTAATTTGTTTAATATGCATTAGAAAGACCAAGAATAGCATATCTGGATTGTTAAATTTTTATCAATGAAATTCAGCACAATAATCAAATTTATATTATGGCTGTGGTCAGAAATGACCAGAAACAGGTTACACGTGCTAATATGAGCTGGCCCAGGGGTCAAGGTTGCTAAGGCACGAGTGCATAACAAGCACACTTCAGCGGGTTGTATCCAGTGTAGAAAAGATTATTTACTTATGTGTAGCAGCTTGGTGGGCCATTCCATCCAACGTGCGTCACCCTTTCCATGTCTTCTCTTCATTCCTGGCTTGTCAAGATGGCTCAGAAGTATGCGTTAGTGGCATGTGGAATGGCCAGCTCCATTCAGTTGTATCTGGCTTCTCACTGGTAAAAGTGAGAGACTGGCAACAGCAGATTGTGTTCTATACAGTCCTGTGGACACACCTTAAATCTTACCACGGCTGCATCACTGGCTAATAACAGGCTGGCTTGTAGGGGCTCATGGGCTACGGTTGTTTGAATTCAGGTCCATAGTGGAAACAGGGGCCCATGGGCCATTTTGGTATCAGAATAGGGGAACCATGGTAGGTCCCATGGTGGCGGCACCTAGAGCTTTGCCAGTCTTAGCCAGTGTGAGGTTGTAATACAATCATCAAGGCAATAGATCCTCAAAACACTCTTTAGTGTCTAAGAGGTAAAAGGTACTTCTTAAAAACTACTTTTTTTTTTTTAATGTGATCTTTGTTGATATATTCCTTAAATTTATAATCAGTTCAGCATTTTAATTGAACCTCTTCTAACATCTTACAATTCTTCGGTGTCAACTGCTAGCTTTGAAGATTTGTATCGATCAACTCTCAACTGGGTGGAACAACACTGCTCTTTAGTAGATCTTCGACCAGGTGAGTACATGGTTTATAACTTATCAAGCGATGCCGGCTCATGCTTAGGTTGCATGGTTGCACAAACCCCAGATAATCGTAAAAGATTTTATAATGTGTTAGGAATGTACATTATTCAGTCAATTATTGACACATTGAAAGAATTATTTATGATGTTTTAAGAATTTATTTTCACTTGATGTTGATCTTCATTTGTAAAAATTGTGTATTTGATGAGTCCTTTGTGTATATTTGGCTGTTATGGAAGGAAGTCACTTTGTGTCTCCCATGGTGTGTACATCTCCAACTAATAGGGCTCTACCAAATCCCATCACTACAGCAGTGACAGTTGGCAAGCATTGTGAATAAAGGTGTGTGTACAGAAGAACTTTCATTATTGCAGAATATATCAGGGTAGTAAAATTTTTGAAATAAAATATTTGTGTAAAACTTGTCCAAACACTATTGTTTGTTGCCAAGTGCTGGAGTGTGATCACTATATTTTCGAAACAAATTTCTTTTTACTTTCCCATATACGTAGATGTATACAGAGTAAAATACATAGTTAAGAGAAAGTTATGTAGTGCTGCAAAAAATTGATTGAGATTTCAACAAAATTACACGGTGTAGATACCAAAAAAATGTGTGGTGTCTGTGAACACTACTAGCGCCTAAACCATGTGTAGGATTATTTCCAAATTAAAGAAACCCCTGTCCATGTGGCTTGAGTTGAATCTTTGAAATTTTGATAAAATTTCTTTAAAATTTGGCAGTTCTTTACATGAAGCCAACTGGACATTTTCAAAATTTTCTCAAACACGGCTCCAAATTTTTTCTTTAAATTTCTTGTAAGAATAGAGTAATATACACTTATAAAAGTAGCATAGGTCTGATTTTCATGGTTAACTCTGAATTTTCAAAAATTTCAAAAGAATGAATTTTTCTTTCGTGTCTTCCTACAACTACAAAATTAAAGATAAATATTTTTCCTTCCAATAAAATTTGTTCTCGATAGCGAGTTCTTTTATTAAGGTCATGTACATTTTTGTGAAAATTTTAGTAGCTTTTGCTCAATATTGTGTGCAATATGTGCAATTTTAAAAAATTACAAAATGAAAATTTTCTCAAAAACGGATCCAAATTTCTTTCTTTACACTTTTGCAAGAGACAGTGCTAAATGTAGTTTATAAGATAACATAAATGCCATATTGCTTATTTTTGTTTTTTCATAAATTACAAAAATGTAATTTTTTTTACTTTTCTCTCATATTGTTAATATTTATATTAGTGACGATTTGTTCACATTATTGTATTTAGGAGTAAATATGCTTTTTTAATGTTATATAAAGTTTCTCAAAAACTCTACAGTTGTCTGTGAAAACTAGCTCCAAATTCTACATTTTCAGAAAAGCTCTAACACCATTTTCTCAAAAAAGACTCCTAATTTTTTCTTCAAACAATTCGAAAAGATTGTACTCTGTTGTCTTTGAAATAATTCCACTCTTTAATGTGATATAAAGTTTATTTTGGAGTATTTTCTTGTTTTTTCAAAAATTATACAAAGGTAAATTTTTCGAAAGGCCTCTTATGCCATTGATATGCACATTTCCAGAATTTGTAAACACTATTGTATTTGCGAGTTAAAGTACTTAAAATTACTTCAAATGAAGTTTATCGAAAACTCAAAAAGTTTCTGTAAAAAAGAGCTTCAAATTTCGAATTCACAGAAGCATTTAAACACAGTTTTTCTTAAAAATGGCTCCAATTTTTTTTAAAGAAAATTGCCATGTAGAAAGATGTTTTACTGTTCTTTAATATTCTTAAAAAAATATTTCCATGTTACTATTAGGAAACCAAAAAATTTTGAGTAGTTCCCAATTAAAAAACTAAATTTTTTTAACATAGGACTTGAGACACAGCTTAGCACTTGAATTTAACCCCATAGTTGTGTAAGCGTTTTGTGGTGAATGAAAGGCAATGGAACTTTCTCATGATGCTACACTTTCCATGTCTGTTCTCCACTTCCTCCACCATTCTTCAACCTGTTAGAAAGAAAATGCAAACAATAATGTGAGGGTTGCATCCTTGAGCTGCATCATGCATCACTGCAGCAGTGGCAGTCAGCGAGCATTGTGAATGTGTGCGCGTTCATGTGTGGGTGCCTGTGTGTGCGTGTTTCCATATGAATGAAAATGTTAGGACACCTCCCTACCTCCAGTTTCCTCCCACTTTTGCTTCCCGATCTCCCACTCCACTCATGGGTGTGCTGTGGAGGTGGTGAAGCTGTGTGAGAGCCAAGGCATCAACTACAATGCATTATTTATGCTTGAAACATATAAACCCTCTGAAATGCACTGAGGATTCAAAAATTCCATTTATTTCTTTTGGTAAATGAATTGTTTCTTATTTTTGTAAAGACTACCATTATCTTTTCTTGAATTTAAAGACGTATAAAAAATTTGGATGCTCTACGTACCAAAATATGATTGTCATGAGCCCTTTCTATCACAATCTTCATTGCAACCATCAAGGTTGGCTGCATGTGGTTCATTGTGCCTCCTGATTATAGAGTTCATGAAGTTGCTTTTAGGAGAATGTACTTGCTTTGATGAAGATCTTCAGCACTTGATTTATAGTGCTTTAAATAAATTATAACCAAATGACCAGATTTGCATTCAAGTAATGGGATGACAAAAGAAAACAAACAGCTTACAGAATAATAACCTGAACATGGAGACTGAGCCACAATGTCTCTTCCTTGCACCTGCCATCAAAATTCTTGTTATGAGAACAAGATACCAGCTGTTCTATAGTGCAAATCCACTGCTACTATTAAAAAATATCATCACCAAAGTGTCAATTTGAGTCATCTGTACTTGAGGGTTGAGATGTTACATTAAGGCATTGAAGCAGAAAGTCATGTCAACTAACTTTGTACACCACAACTGTTCAAACATGTACTGGATCACTTTTACTCATGATTTACCCACACATATTAAGCTCATTACTTTTTTTTTTCCTGTCAACTGTTTAATAATTTTTACTCTTGAATTATTTTTTAGCTGTGCTGAATTCTTTAAGGTACCTGTCAACAGCAACTGAGATTCTCACTGATCCATCCAAGCTGCCGGAAGAAGCTCGCAGGGCTGTTCTAAAGCAGGATCATCAGCATTGATAGTGAGAATGTGCCATAAGTGGCAAGTGACACAACATTGAAACAAAACATTGTTTACAATCTTCGTTGCCTACTAACACTTTTTAAGGGCTTTTTCCAGCCAAAGTCAGTTACCTTCTACACTCCAAAAAGGAGTATCCCAAACCTTACCCTAGACACTAATGAACATGTGGGGGTCCTTGGATCTGGAATCAACAGAATGAGCCCTTCATAACACATATGAAAGACACAGAACAACATTATTTCCAAGGCAGGATTTGGATTCATGACCTTTTACACCAGGTGCTGAGTCAGTACACACTAGCCATATTGGCAATCCAGGCCAGCACTACTACTTTTCTATAAATAGTTTTTCAGAGAAATTGTACAGGAACTGTCTTTCAAAACAAACTTTTGTATTGTGGAAGAATACATTTTCCAATGTATTTCTCCCCCTCCCTAAAAGCCAACATTTTTATGTAATATAATTTTAGAGAAACTATCTGTGATGGAGGCATATGGATTAAATTTTGTTTAAAACAATGTGTCAAAAAATCTTCATAGATTTTTTTAAAGTTCTTGTAATGGTTTGCCTCTGTTGATGTGGTTAGTTTGAATTTTGCTCATTGTTACATGGTTATCCTAAAATTGGTCTTTTAATCTCTGAAAGAGGACTGTTGAAATTTAATTCTTTGTTGTTTTTTTTGTTTTTTTAAACTAGTGAGGAAAAGTTAAAACAGATGTTTGTGTCATTTTGTAAACAAAAATTTGTGTGAACATGTGTTCAAGTGAATGCAATTTGTTTCCCATTGTGCAAATGGAACTTATGTGAATATGGGTGTGTAAATGTTAAATATAGATTATCAGACTTGTAAATAGTGATTAGATGGTTATTTTCTGAATGTATGATATGATTGTACCTGCAGAAGCATGGATTGTGAAGGATGATTTGTCTTAAAAGTTCAGGAACTGTGATACACTCATTACAATTGTGGCAAGATGTACTCTTGTACCAACATTAGTGTAAAAAGGCATGACTTAAAGACCAGAATTTCTTCTCCTGAGTTAAAAGTTTTTAAAATATGCATTGTGTTCAGATATGTAATAAGGACAATGTTGTGTGGAAAATGAAAAGTGGTACTCAGTGCACAGAGTGCACAGGGGTAGAGAGATATTGATGTATGATTTTTGTTCTGTATGCTCATCATTGTATTCACTCATGAATTCATTGGAAGTAAATATTAACCAGTGATTGCATTTTTTATGATTCTGTTGTTTCAAAAATTGCAAAGGCAAAAGGTTTTTAACTTGGAAAATGAAAACAGTGAGTTGTATTAAGAGGAATATTTTTTGAAGTGTGATTTCTCAGGTTTTGCTGTCACTGAATTTACGAAATGTTGTTTTGTGTGTGAATACTAGTCGAAAATCTGCATAAAAAAGGTGCAGAACATAATTTTATATTTATAATTATGTGATATTAATGTTACAGAATTAAATGACTTTATTTTGGTCTTACCAGTGATCATTACTTTGTGTTCTTTGTCTGGTACAGATTTTTGTACAGTAAGTATTTTTTTATCTTCATGACATTCAATAATTACCTTCAATTATTGCAGTGAGTTTTAATCACAGATGTGTTCTAAGTTTGTTTTTGGTTTTGAACCGTCTTTAACAAACAAATTTAGAAAAACTTTGTTGCAGAATCAACTTAATTAAGCTCTAAGTTGGAAAAACAATGTTATTTAGTTCTAATAATAACTTGATCATTTATGTTTTATCAGTAAAATTTTTCTGAAACTAATCTCAAAATGTTTAAATTTATAGAAAGAAACCAAAAAAAAATAAAAAGTAATAAAAGGTTTTGACATTATTGCCATTTATAATTCTTAACTTATTTGATCTCTTATAATGACTGAACACCATTATTTTAACTTTCTTGTTCAATGATTTTTTTTCATTTCTTCTCTAATTCCTGTATGAATTCGTCTTTGATTCAAGTTAGAGCATTGTAAATTCAAGATGTACTCATGTTTTACCTCAAGAGGAAGAATAATGAGAAATTTAATCAACAAAAAGGACATGACAACCAACTTAACAATATGTTTTGAACAGTTCTTGAATTGAAACATTCTGACAATTGCATTGTATATGAATAAAAAACTTTTTAAAGAAAAAATAAAATATTCCCTTTCAGCTTCATCTTCGAATTATTGGCATCTTTCCCAAACTAATTGATGTGAAACTTTGTTAAAACTCAATGCTCTTGCTTCAATTTTGTACTTCCCCTAGTAGATGTGTCCTTACAGAAGTTAAGTTTTGGAAATAATCCTGTGTGTGCTACATTTTTTTTATATTTATCGTGAGATTGTTTTCATTACTTTTTATAATTTAAATAAGAATAACAGTTTTGATGGGAAGAGAGTGTATTAACAGTCTCAAGAATATATGAAGAGTATGAAAAGGAAGAAATGAGAAAAAGAGTATTGTGTAGTGCTTTGGTAGGCAAATCATTTGTCTTTGAATCACCAAGCAAAACCACATGTTTTCTTGAGCTCCAAATTCCTTATCCCTGGTTCTTTACAACATTAATAGACTTGTGAATAAAAGGTAGCAATAAGCATTGATGACAGCTTCTGCTAACAAATTTTTGCTTTTGTGTTATAGAAACTATTTGCATCAAAAAACAATTTACAGATTTGATATACTTCATAGTCCTGCTGCCAGTGTAACCAATCTCCCCCCCCCCCCCCCCTTGCATGTTAATAAATCAAAGCTCAAGATAATGTGCACAGATTGTATAATATTTTGTTTGATGATAAAAAGCAATACAAAAAGAATTATTTTGACAGCAGTCAGCATTAATTTGAGTGCTGTAAAATGAAATATAAAAAAAGGAGTATATTAATTTAATACATTTTACTTAATTTATTATATACAAATCAATCTCGCATATTTTCAGCTGATTGTCAAGGACAGAAAAGGAAGAAAGCAATTTTATTGAAGTGCCTTTATAAGCTAATTTCGACAAGTATTTACAACATGTGCTATTTTCATAAAGTATACAGAAAATCTCTCTTTGAAAGAAATTGCAAGAGACTTAATGTACTGGCTTAGAATTTTAAAAATTTCATTAATATTGATAATCTTCAATGTTATATCAAAATGAATATCTACACGGTAAAACCTATTAAATCCTTCATCTCAAAAATATTAAATAACTCAGTTTGTAATTTTTTATTGAACATTCTTCAGAACCCTCATTAACACATTGTATGGAAACATCAAATAATCTCACTTTATGTTTATGAACGGCTTTTGGAAGAAATGGTGCAAATATTTGCAAACCTTCTGAATTGACTTCATCCAAATAATATATTTTTCTAATTGTGTAAAGTTTTTTCTTACTACATTTTCAAAATTTTATAATTCGTCTGGTGGAGTAAATTGTAAATTTGAATTTTTGAGATAAATTCTTATTTTGTATAAATATTGTTCTATATGTTAATTTAATATATAAATGTAGTTAATGGTTAAAAAAGAGTTATTTAATCTTCACATAGAAGTTTATTTGGAAGACATGTAAACACTTCACCCAACAAAATAGTTTCTGTCAAGAACGTAAGCTACAAAAAAAAAATGAATACAATATTTGTCAATTGTAGTGTTACTTTTAATCTGTTGAGTATAAAGATTTTTATTCTTTCTGATTTTTAATTAGATTATGTACAGAACTGAAATGAATGTGTGTGATTAAAAGCTCATACATATAAGATTTCACAGAGAACCCTTTAAGAAAAGAATTAGAAGATTTAAGTGCTTGAATTAATTCCATTCCAACTTATTTATTTCTATTTAAACTTGTTTTTACTGTGTGAAGCATAGCTTTCCAATTGAGTATTATTTAATTTGTAAATTTACTTTACCTCTGGAAAATTTTATTGTATTTTGTGAAGAAGGGAAAATTTATTTTCAGTTTTCTTCCATTATTATGTTTTTGAATATTTTTGAAACTGTATTAAGTTAAAATATTACACCATTTTTTTCTCCATCTACTGACATTACCTTTGAACATTAGAAGATAAACCATGCCAGTTTGCAGCTTTGATTAGTTCTTGTCAGTACATTTGCTACTTCTCTTGCATTGAATTTGGTTTCAACGTTTATTAAGTGAGTGAGTATTAGTACAATTTTTCTCTTGCTTTCATTCTTTGTTGCTTACAATATCACAAGAGTTAATTTTTAATTCCTTATTGAAACTTTTACAGTTGTACTTTTTGACTAACTTTAAATTGTTACTTTGCAAAATTAAAACACTTAGGGAATTGGGTTCAGAAGTGAATTTTTTCCATAAAATTATTTTGAAAATAATCCATACTTTTTGGTCTTGGACTGTGAAAGTTAAGATCAAAGAGTTTATGATGCAATGAGCAAATCCATTTCAGATTTCAATGTATTAAAGTGTTTCAGTGTATTATGTAATTGTCTCTATAAACAGCCTTAATCGAATTGTAATGCATAATGTGAGCCCTTATTTATTGTTACATCAAAATGCTCTAGAAACTACAACCATAGAATTGAAACTACAAGTTTGACTCTTGCTTCTAAAAAAATTAAAAAGAGAATGCTAGGTTAATTTGATCTGTTTTCTAATATTTAGTCAAGTGCAAATGTAGTACATAAATGTTTAATCATTGATCATACATTTTTTCATAAAAGCTAAATCCATTGTGACTCTGTGTATAACTTTTTTTTCCCCTGGCAAAACTAACATTTAATTTTGAAGCATAAAAAATACAACCAAAATAAATTTCCAAAAAATCAAAAGGAGTATGTTTTGCATCTATTATCTGACTTACTTTTTACTTCTTTAAACGCAAGTCTTTTAATGCAGTTCTATGGATATCTCATTGAATCTATTAGAGGAGATTTCAGTGAATATATTGAAGAAAGTTTGTAGGTCTCAGTTTCAACGAGCAATTTCGTCTTCCAATTTTTTTCATAATTTAGAAAGAAACAAAGTTAAAACTATTAGTATCTCCAATGTTCAGAAAACATCAGATAATTTCATTTAAATGATATATCTACGAACTGCCATTAATTTTACCAAGAAAAGAGAGAAATGGAAATATTAATGAAAAAACAACAATTTATTATTGAAACCTTGAACGAGTATGCCATTTATAATTATCCTTCATGATCTTCTGTAAAAATTACCTCAAATAATTTGAGTAAATCCAACTAACTGGTCTGTGAGCGCCAATTATCTGCATGAAACTTGGCACATTAAGAATATCTTTGACATGATAATTCGTGAAGGGAACTGTATAATTTTGTTTAAATGAGAATATTGTTGTAAATATTCTGCACTAGTACAAAATGTTCTATTTAATTATTGTTTTGTAGAATTATTGTTAATGAATATGTTAATGTGAGTTTTATAAATTACTAGTAGTTTGTTATTTTTGTCATTTAAGTTAGAGGGTTGATTATGATTTGTTAATTATTTGTGTATGTACATATATAAAAAGGCAATTTATACATAAAGTTAAAAGAATTTCGTACCAGCAATGAGAATTTTATTGGAAATTCCTCTTTGTTAGTATTAACAAACATTAATATCCTTAAATTTCAAGTGTCTAGGACAAGAAATTCAGTTGTATTGTCCAAATATTTTTCCCTAAAAAGTACAGTATAGGGTGTGTTATTAAATGCACTATATTAAAAGGTTGTTTTGGGGAACTTTTTTTACTCAATGCTGTTCATTATCGCAAGATAAGTGGTATAATACACAGAATTTTCTGCATTTTATCTCTCTTCGTCATGTCTGCATTTTAAAAAATTATAAAGAATTGGTCTCTTGCAAGTCAATGACATAAAATTCACTTTTACATTAGACACAATATTGATATAGGCCTAAAATTACTGTAGTATAAGGAGAGGTGCTGCAAGTAGATCAGATCCACACATAGAGAGCGTAGACAGTCAGAAAGGTCTTAATACTGAAGTAGACAACCAAATGAAGTGCAAGAGATTAAAAAAACAATCTTAAATATGTTTTTAATTCAAAAAGTTTAAATAAAAATGGCTTCTGCCATAAAATACAGTGTATTCTGCTCTATCCTCACAAAAATTTAAAAAGAAATAAAAAAAATAATTTGCCTCATAAAGGATTTGACACTCGATGCTTTGGCTTCTATGTCCAGCTTGTTGACCTACAGACTGATTATTAATATCCCAGTGATTGCAGAACACAACATAATTCTCAGGTCAAAATTACTCTTAAAATTACGGTCTTAAAAAGTGTATGTGAAATGATTTGAAAATTAACATTTAGAAATAGATTCCTCTGGAGAGATCTCTGGATTCAAACTTGAAGGGGTATGTCAGTATTCAAATTTGTGAAAGTTGAAAATATTGTCATTTTCCACATTTCAGAGGTTTTTATAAAACTTTAGCCCTGCAGCTAGTCAATAGACTTTAATCACCTTTATTTTTATTTTTTAATTAGGAGCAATTGTTTTAGAAAATTCTCACATTTTCATCCAAATTACTCTAACTAAAAATTGTACATGACAACTTGTAAAGATTGAATTTTCAAGAATAGATTTTATTAAGAAAAATCTCATCTTCAATAGGATGCTGAAGGAAGGGATAAAAAAAATTTCTTTTGCAATTTTCAAAACTTCAGAGTTTTTGGTGAAAATTGGACCAGTGTCATTTTTTTATAAAAAATACTTCACTGTAATCAAACAAAAAATTTGGAGCCATATTTGAGAAAAATTTTCAACATGTAATGTTTCACCCACTCCTGAAATTAAAAGATTAATGTCAAATTCGCTGGTTCTTAAATATGAACAGACCAATTATTAAATATCTATTTGGTAAAAAATCTTTTGAACAGTTTTAGGCATTGTTCATGGTTGAACAGGCATACAGACGTGTCTCATATCAACTAGAATTTAATAGAACGATGCAATGCTACAGGAAAAGGAACCTATTTTCAATAAAACATGTTTTGTAGGTCCCTGATACTAATGTGGACTTTTCTTGCTGCTTTAGGTTGTAAATTTCTTTCTTATTCTACAAGTTCTATAGTTAATATCCATTTTATGTCTCCTCAACGTGAACAAAATCTTTTTTTCCCCAAAAGGACTTTGAATTAAAGTGATTAAACTGTACACAAACATTTATGGTAGCTATTTAACTGAGCTAGACTGAATCAATTTTCTCCAAATTCCACAAGTAAATTTATAGTTTGGTTCAATTTTGAAACCCACCTTTCACAAGTTTTTATCAATATGTTTTCCCTTGTGCACTTCTGCAACTGTTCCTGAACAGCATTGGAATATGCTGACTTTATTTATTTATTTACATCAAAAACAGTTAAAAACTGTGTGTAACATGCTGTGGGGAGAAGTTAATTTGATGTTACATTATGTCCAGAAGCAAAACAAGGGGCCATCTCTGCATTTGCTCAAGGATCGAAAGGAAAATGACAAAAACCTGAAAAACCGAACATTTATTGTTAAATTTCATGGAGCAGGATAACACCAGTTGCACAGACATTCTGCATTTCAGTAAGATTAAAATGTACATCAACAAAATTGCAAAGGCGGCCAAAATCCAAAAAAATGACAAATTTATTTTAAAGACAGCAATTATTTACAGTTACCATGGAGGTGGATTTATTAAAAGTGCACTAAGCCCTGGCATATAACACCTATCTTATTTAAATAAAATGGACAATGTCATTTTTGAGTATCTGAAATATCCTTTCCCTCCTTCACAATGAAAATCAGAATTCAACTGTATTGATATGATTAACTACAGAAATTGGTTTTCTATAAAACTTTCATAATACAGTCCAACACTTCCTTTTATTGAATCAAAGCACTCCAGCCTTTAGTAAAATTGCTAGTTTGCAGCTCTTGAAATATATCTTCTCAAGCTTAGTTTTTGAATTTATTTTCTCTTTTTTATTATCCAATCATCTACCCTTTAATATGCACCCCAACACATCAGCCAGCAGTTATTCTACAACAAACTTTTTCAGCCATGCTAATAATCCATTTCAGCCACTGGAGTCACAAAAGGTATATAGATTTAGCATTGAATTCCAGTATTCAATCAATGCCCACATCTGTTCCAGTGTGGAAATTTGGATGAATGTCTTGGTCTGTAATAGTTATTTTAAAGATTATCTAAATTATTTGACTTAAAAATTGGTTTAAAAAATGAGTTCATGTTTGAAAAACCTATTGAATTAATGCAATAACAGTTTTATAGTATTACGAAACTAATTGGGTGCTACACACTGATATATTGCAACTTTTGAACAATTTAAATTTGATATAGGTATTGAAAACTAATGTTAAAAGCATCTAAAAATATTTACATTGACAAACTAAGCATTCTTACAGTGCTCTTTCTTAATTCATGAATTTTCTTTGCTTCAATCAAAAATTCCTTCTTTTTAACTTTGGAATACAAATATTTAATTGAGCATTAATATCTTACTAACAGAAAAATAAAGTAGTATAAATGTTCAAAATTTTTAACTCTCAAATAAATTTTGAAATTACCTATCTCTGCACTTTAAGACCAACTCAATTTATATTTGCAACATTTTAAAAATATTTGAATATGAGATGGTATGTGGATACCAGATATATTAGGTGAATGCATAATTAATTTTTTTAACAATACTTGTATCTAAAGCCTTCTAAATAAGCACAATCTGGGAACAATGCTGAGAAATAACATAGCAAAAACATTAGTCTTTTAAAGCATTTTAATTGTGTAAAAATTAACATTTTCAGTTCATACAGTAAAACACTTGCTTACAATTAATATTTGGACAAATAAACATCACAGACATTTTCAGTCATTAATAATCTAATAAACAAATTACATTACAATATCTTCACAATAAGAACACTGTGCACATGTTAGTTTAAGAGAATTACCAACACTAACAAAATTAGGTTTGTGTGAACAAACTTGTAAATGTGCTATCACACTCGACTGAATTTTGTTACTCAGAGCATAAAGGCTAGTCTTTGCTCTAATAGTAATATTACAATGGGTACATGATATTTCTGAATCGGAGAGAATTATATTACCCTTTTCACAAACAGGGCAGTCTATGAGATCAATACACTCACTTTCTAGAAATGCTTCAATGTCATAGTTTTCTGCATTTAGCAAGGCATCACAGTTCAACATGATCTGTTCAACTGGAACAAAGAAATAAGTAAGAAAACTTAACAATATCTTAACAAGAAAAGTTTAATAAAATCTTAACTAACTTTCAAAATCACATTCATGAGAAAGCTCATTGCTACATTCTTCAAAAATTTGGAGTTCTTCATCTATCATCGCTTCATTTGTAATTTCAAAACTTCTTCCATTTACTTTCTCCACAATACAAGAAAATGACATTAATTCCTCAAGTATTGTATTATTTAAAACTCTCTTGAGGTCACTGGAACCTCGGGGACTTCGCAACAAGTTCACAAATTTTTCTCGGTTTTCCTTAACCCTATTTTTGCATCTCTGCAACAAAAATACAATTCCAATAAAAAAATATGCCTTACACTTAACCTAGAACAGAGATTTCTTTCACTAAACATTATCAATTTGATAAATATAATAATGTCAATAACAAACATAAAATTTCTGTAGAAAACGTAAAGATGAAAAAAAGATTAAATGGAATACATTTTGCCCTTACTACCGAACGTATATAATAATAACGCTTCGTATTCACTTACATAATGATAAATCACTTATTTGTATTTAGAATTGCCACTACAATTTGAGTAGCACACATACTGTATAACACCAAAAGCTATGATAAAGTTTCACACTCCGTGATACCTTACTTCAGAGCTTTGGAAAGTAATTTACCTCTCTTATAACATCCCTAAATTTTGGAGATCCATGTTTTAATTTATGGGCAGCATTTCGTCCTTTTATTAGTTGGTCGATGTTCCGAGGTGGGCTTGAATACGCCATTCTTGTTATCACTCAATTCTCAGTATAGTGTTATTGGCACTTATGCAATTTAAACGCTATTCCACTAACACTGCAATGCTTTCATTTCCCAGGCAAACAGCAACAATTAAGAACTAGAATATTAATACTGCTGACATTTAGATTATGTTGCAATACGTGTTCCATACGATGTGTTCACAACCCCGCCAACTAGAGTATACGGAACGCTCCTATTGGTTCCTATCGTGGTGGAAAGATGGATTCGATTCTGAGATCGATTCTTTTCTTTCGATCCTGTGGAATCGGCATTCGATTCCTTTGCTATCGATTCTTGCTGCAATCGATTTCTTGACGGAATGGGGACGAAACGGGAATAAAAGGGTGTAGGGAGTTTTTACCACCTCGAACGTAAAGCTCTATCAATCTTCTGGGCATGCGCAGATGCACTAAAGTGGAGGGCGAAACTTAAACTGCGCATGCGCAGAAGGGAGTTTATGTTATTATTCCTCGAACCGCAATCAAAAAAAGGG